GAGGCAGGAGACTCGCTTGAGCCCAGGAGTTGGAGGTTGCTGTGAGCTGTAATGCCACGGCACTCTGCCCAGGGTGACAGCTTGAGGCTCTGTCTCGAAGAAAAAAAAAAAAAAAACCACACCAGAAACAGGCCCAGTAAGACATTACTTCAAAGTAAGATAGGCTTTTCCCCTTATAGAAGAGGATCTACTATGCCTCCTATCTCAAGACAAGAGAACAACAGCTCATCCCAGGCATGGCTGGAAAGCCTATAGACTTTGGGAAAGTAAATGATAGAAAGTTTCCACCCGAAACAAAGTTCCTCTTTCTCACCTCACTCCTTGTCAGGAGTCTTTTAAAATTATCTCTTTCTCTAACTCTTGGTGCACTGTGAGAACAAGGGAAACTAACTTCAGGTCTGGTAAGTTTTCGCTGAAGTTAAGATAAAAACAATCTTGTTCACTCCAACAGCACCTGACCAGGGGCCTCCTGCTTTCAGATCAGAAGATAATGGCCTTCAGGAATTCCCCAGGCTCCCCTGGCTGAACAACAAGCAACACTGTCATATTAGATTCTATTTAAGATATAGATAAGAGTGAAAAGAATAGTTTTAATGGAGACCTAAAGATTTCACTGACGTGGGTTTCTAAGCTTATCTTGCTTTTTTAACCTTCAATCATTTAACTGGAATCTAGGTTTATCTTTTAACCCGCTGAGTGAGAGTAGCATATGGGGAGTGCTCTGCAGCTGAGGCTCACCACTCCCGAGGCAGCCACCCCTTCCCATGATACCACAGGCTTTGTTCTCCCGAGAATCAAAAAGAGCTGTTACCTGTGTGGCCCATTGGATTTGAGTGTGCCAAGCACTGAGCAAGGCATCATAGAGTCCAGTGAGCTGCCGGTCCAGGGGGAGGTCACTCTGGCACAGCTCTTGCCAGGCTGCTAAAAGCTGCACCTGCAGAAGGAGGACAAAGGGGGCCTTACTGGTAGCCAAGATATGCTACCTGCAAAAACTGCCCTGTCCTCCCAGTAAGACAGGTGATTTACTGCTGCCTGTTAGCCTGAGCAATCACTGATTACTCAAAGAACTCCCTAAGCAACCCAGCCAAGTCCATCTACTTCAAAAACAGGCAGGGAAAAAACATTTACAAGCCCCTGCTCTGATCATCACCCAAAATTTGAATTTGTTGCCCTCCACATAATCCTTTATCCTTTTATCCTGCTCCAAAAGCATGCCAATGTGTTTCCACTCAGCACACTACCCTTCTCCTGAACAAACCTCAGAGGTAGGCGTGAGTATGAGTTTAAGCTTCATGTCCTAACATCACTGCCTGGACCTGAAGGAATTAAAGTTAGCCCAAGTAGCTGATAACCCTAGAAAACATAAAATTCTGAGTTAGGTATGATCGCACAAGCCTGTAGTTCCAGCCAGTCAGGAGGCTGAGGCAGAGAATCGCTTGAGCCCAGGAGTCTAAAGCTACATACAGTACACAAAAATCACACCTGTGAATAGCCACTGCGCTTCTGCCTGGGCAACACAGCAAGATTCATCTCTTTTTTTTT